TGTCTGGTAATTCAACCTAAGTATTCCCTGGAAATAACAGTATCCTCAATGCTCAAAGCTACACGTTTTTAATATTCTACAGTGTTCCAGGACCATTCTGTAACATTCTTTTCACCTACAGCTTGTCTTCCTCGTATTTTCTTCACAAAGAATAAAACAGAGGCAAACTGGGTTAAAAGGCTTGCTTAAGGCCATCCAATAGAGTAATAATAGAAGTAGGATTGGCATACCCTATCTCCTTGAGGAAAGTTTTTTGTGTGTATGCATTTTTGTACCAACTAAATTACCCTGTACACTATCAGCAGACAGTCTCAAGACAAACTGTTCTTGCTGTCTTTGTTAAAACATGGATATGGAGCACACACATATGAGAAGGTCATATTAAAGAACAAGAATAAGTAGGGTCAATTCAACATTTAAGTGTGAGTAAAATACATAACTGAAATTATGTACAACTGAAAATGCATAACTCTGAAATTGCACAGTTACTGATAGCCTTAAAGACTCTTGCACTGGTATCAAAAGCAGAGAACTGCTGTGCTAACACACTAGGAAGACCGGCAGTTACTCATTCCCTTTCATAAACTCCCCAGTACAGTCACTAGCATAAAAAGTAAAGATTGTTAGCAATGCCTAACCACCTCATTGCCCAAGTAACCGTCTTTTCTTATTGTCTTGAGCATGAAGGAAGTGGCAAACCAGTAGGACTATAATCTGTTATCTGTTACCACTGAGAGCAGTGTTGTGTTGTGACACCAAGAGAGAAAAAGTCCGAAGAGACAGACAGGGAAAATGCATCCAATAAAAGCTGTACTAAACACTGACTTCATCTTTCCTTCAAATGACTCATTTATAACTGTGGGTATACTGGGTGTGTGTGTCCGTGGGAAGAAGGAAAAGAGAAATATGTGAAAAGTTTAGAAAAGATAGGATAGGGTGGGCAAGGGGTGACCGCACCAGAGTAGGTAGTCTCCTGGTCCTGATCCACATGCCTGTGAATCAATTTAATGTGTGCACACACATCCCCATAAACTAGTTATCCCTACAGTTTATTGGATGGAGAAGACAGACACTAGGTGGCAGAACACGTGATGAATCCTCAGGCCAGGACCCTTGGATAGTGCATACCCTGGAAGTTGGATAGCACACATCAAAGGCACACTTGTTCTAGTAACTAGAAAGCACACCAATAAAAGTAATGCAAAAGGAGCTGAATTGTAATGCTGTTTTGCTAAAGTTCATCTGGCTGCCAAGTATGGTCAAAACAGCTTTTTGTTTGCTTGTTTTAAACCCTAGAGCTTGTAGCTGTTGGCTTTTATGATTAAGACATCAATTTTGAGAAAATCCTTTAATTGTTATGCTTTTTAAACCTTAATGCCTGGATACTACTCTAAAGATTCCCTTGCCTCCCTTCTGTCCCACTCTGTAAAATGTCAGCTCCACCGTTCTTCCAGGATCCAGCACAAAGCTGACTAGAAAGATAATAAAATTAGAGGATCACAAACATTAAGATAAAATAGTGCTTTCTCCCATGAACTAAAAACTGGTGTAAACTTTTATATAGTTTAAACTTAAAGTTAAGCTTCAAATAATCCTAGAAAGAGTCAATATGAATTATGGGATAATAACAATGAGGAAATCATGTTTTTATAAACACATTGGTTCTGTAGAAAAACTATTTTTAAACATTCTTAATGAAATGTTTTAAGAACCTAATTGAAAAAAACACGAAGTATTAATATGAAGTCTGGTTGACTTATTTTACTATAAATTAGAAATAAAATATAGATGCTAAAATATCAGATATCAGTTTATAGCTGATATTTATAGTTTTATAGCAAATGGTATGCTATATAAGCATATTCTGATTGGACCCTTGAAGATCTATGGGTGGATTTCAGACAGCATATCCTTTACAATTGTATGAAAAATTGTGCACCTATGTGAAGATATCTTCCATCAAACTTCAAATGGGTTCAAGACATATATAAGAAAACTTTAAAAACACTGACCCAAAGGCTACATCTTACACAATTCAGATCTTTTTAGTAACCAGTACTGCTTTTCTTTTTGGAGTGGTTTTCCAACTTAAGGTCGTTACACTTACCCAACTAGTAAGGCATTATCTCAAACTTTTGTAATATTTGGTCTGTGCACTCATTGCACATGCAAATTTCTTTTTATTATCCATGCTGTTCAGAGGAAAGGTTAAGAAGTGTCTAATAGAATAAAGACTATCTTATAGACTAGGAAGAGTGTTTTTAGAACCTTAGAAAATGTATTTAAAACCAAAACGAAAATGAATATATACTGCCCGATATTATTATCTGTAAATTACAAAGCAGTCTCATTTTCTTATTATATTTCAGAGAGAAAAACTTTCTTCCCCTGCGTTTTTTTTTTTTAAAGATTTTATTTATTTATTTGACAGAGAGAGAGATAGCGAGAGCAGGAACACAAGCAGGGGAGTGGGAGAGGGAGAAGCAGGCTTCCTGCCGAACAGGGAGCCCGATGTGGGATTCGATCCCAGGACCCTGGGATCATGACCTGAGCCGAAGGCAGACGCTTAACGACTGAGCCACCCAGGCGCCCTCCTGCGTTTTAAATATACTCATAGGCACTATGAGTATCTTATAAAAAGTCATTTGGCAATGTGTTTAATGACTTGCAACTAAATAGTAACTTTAAACTGTACAGACTTTTTTACTTAAGCTAATAGGCAGTCTATCATTTCCAGAACAATCTCATAAAAAAAATGCAAGATAAAAAACCAGAATAGTTTTTCTTCTTCGCTGTCCAAGAGCAAAGACCAGGATATTTTTATCCAAAAGATGCATTTTTTCTTCTCCGGATTTCTTCTTTTTTAAGATTTATTTATTTATTTCACTTAGCATAATCCCCTCCAGTTACATCCATGTTGATGCAAATGGTGGGTATTCATCCTTTCTGATGGCCAAGTAATATTCCATTGTATATATGAACCACATCTTCTTTATCCATTTGTCTTTTGAAGGGCATCTCAGCTCCTTCCACAGTTTGGCTATTGTGGACATTACTTCTATGAACATTGGGGTGCATGTGCCCCTTCTTTTCACTATATCTGTATCTTTGGGGAAGTTTCACTCATATGTGGAACATAAGGAATAGCATGGAAGACATTAGGAGAAGGAAGGGAAAAATGAAGGTGGGGAAATCGGAGGGAGAGAACCATGAGAGACTATGGACTACAGGAAACAAACCGAGGCTTTCAGAGGGGAGGGGATGGGGAATGGGGTAGCCAGGTGATGGGTATTAAGAAGGGCACATATTGCAATGAGCACTGGGTGTTATACGCAAATAATGAATCATGGAACATTACATCAAAAACTAATGAAGTACTGTATGGTGACTAACATAACATATTAAAGAAAAAGATTTATTTATGTATTTGAGAGAGAGAAAGCACGTGAGCAAGCGTCGGAGGTGGGAGGGTAGAGGGAGTGGGAGAGAAACCCAAGCAGACTCAGTGGTGAGCATGGAGCCCATCACAGGCCCGATCTCATGACCCTAAGGTGAAACCAAGAGTCTGACGTTTAACCAACTGCACCACACAGGCACCCCTCTTCTCCAGATTTCTATGTGCCAAAAGAATCTTGACTATGGGGGACGAAAAGAGTTCACAAAGCTGATAGTCCAAAGGTCCCTGTGCAATGGCAAAGGACTTGTCAACACAATCAGGAATAAATAATAAATGCTTGTTTGTCAATGTGCATCATGCAGATGAAAAGAATGCATGGTTCTTTGACAATTTGTTCGACAGGCTTTATTAACTTTATATAAACACAATTCAAGAGATGTTTTGAAGAAGCCAGGGACTCCCAGTATTGAAGCCTTATCTTTATGTATATTCTGATTAAGTATCAACAGGTTTTGAAAACGGACTACAGACTTACCTAACTCATAAGGCATTATCTCAAACATTTAATATATTCGGCTTTTGCACATGATGTGTCCCAGTTTGTCATAAGTGGACTCCAAAATCAAAAGAGAAAACAGTATCACAGGAGGTAGAAAAACAAGATGTCTGAATATTTCACTTTTTGGCTAAGTTTTCAAGGGTTTGTTTATTGGTCTTCTATAAAATATTACTCTGCAGAACAATTTCTGAACTCCTATTCTTTATGTTCAACGTTTTTATAACTTTATCCTAAAAACTGCATGTCTAGATTTGCTTCCCAAATTAGCAGTGTGCTCAAGGTTTTGGGACCAGAGAAACCTGAATTCCAGCTCCAGGTCCACCATTTGCCTATTGATGGACCTCAGTCACTTGTTTCATGTCCACAGGCCTTAGTTTTCTTGTTTACAAAATGTGTATTGTCTCATTTAATACTCCAAACAACCTGGCTCATAATGTTTCCGTGAAGATTAAATGAGCTGATTGATATGAAGCTGTACAGTGTCTGGCACAGAGTAACTGTCTAGTAACTATCAACCATTGTTATTAAAATGTATTTATACAAATGTTCTGCTCCTGCCTGGTTGCTTACTCGTTGTATACTAAGATGTATTCTGCCTCATCTTCATGCCTCCTCAGAGGATGCCGCACATTGAAATGCTAATCATACATCAAGTCTCTCTGTCATACATCCTCATAAGATCTTCCCTCAGAATTTCTTCACTCTTTTTTCATCAGGTCATTATTGACTACACATATCATTTGATAGTTCATTTTTTACTATCTTTTATTTAGCTCTACTTCCCTAAACTATTATTTATACTGTTATTTCAATCTTTGTGATTTCTGATGTCAAGGATTTATGCTCAGTATTCCAAACCAGATTGTAAATTCCTTAAGGGCAAACATATCTTACATTTTTTTTCTATTCTCTATAATACCTAGCAGAATGTCTTGTTCTGTATGTACTATGTAATGTTGATTTAATTTTTTAAGTCTGTAAGAGAGAGAGAATCTAAAATTATCTTGAATATATTTGTTTTTACAGAACCCATGCCTATAGCACGGAGCTACCTAATGGGATTTGGAGTCCTAAGAAATTATAGCCAGTGATGTGCTGGAGCTAGACTCTACTCTTACAAGAGCCAGTGGTGTGTTTCTCTTTCCCAATTCTGCATGCAGTGATGTCTCATTGGTAGTTTTTTTTGTTTGTTTGTTTTTAAGATTTTATTTATTTGCGAGAGAGAGAGAATGAGAGACAGAAAGCATGAGAGGGAAGAGGGTCAGAGGGAGAAGCAGACTCCCTGCTGAGCAGGGAGCCCGATGTGGGACTCGATCCCGGGACTCCAGGATCATGACCTGAGCCGAAGGCAGTCGCTTAACCAACTGAGCCACCCAGGCGCCCTCATTGGTAGTTTGAAACAAGCCATATTAAGAGTATTTATACTATGGGAATTGGCAAACACTACAAATCTGGGCTTTCTTTTTCTCATCTCTTTTGTTCTCTTTCATTCTTTCTTTCTTCCTTTATTTCCTTCCTTTCTTTCTCTTTTTTTCTCTTTCTCTCTCCCTCCCTTCCTCTCTCCCTGTCCCTTTCTTTGTTTCTTTCAGAGGAAGTTACTATATATTTACCAGGACACCACTGGTTAGAATCCACAAAGATAGATTTAAAGCCATCCATAATATGTGTATATATTTAAATACATCTTAACTATTGAGCAAACTCAGATAATCTATGACTCTTTTCCAGAATCAGAGGACATTCTGTGCACATAGAAATAACATATTCATATCTTATAATTTACAGTTACCATTTAAATATTAATATACTTTGCAGGTTTCCTGTCTCACATTTAGGTCTTTCATCCATTTTGAATTTATTTTTGTGTATGGTGTAAGAAAGTGGTTCAGTTTCATTCTTCTGCATGTTGCTGTCCAGTTCTCCCAACACTTGTTGAAGAGACTATCTTTTCCATTGGTTATTCTTTCCTGCTTTGTCAAACATTAGTTGACCGTATCGTTGTGGGTCCATTTCTGGGTTTTCTATTCTGTTCCATTGATCTATGTGTCTGTTTTAGTGCCAGCACCATACTGTTTTGACGACTACAGCTTTGTAATATAGCTTGAAATCCAGAATTGTGATGCTTCCAGCTTTGCTTTTCTTTTTGCTTTGGCTCTTCAGGGTCTTTGTCATAAAAAAAGATGAAATCTTGCCATTTGCAATGATGTGGATAGAGCTAGAGTATATTATGCTAAGCAAAATAAGTCAGAGAAAGACAAATACCACATGATTTTACTCATGTGGAATTTAAGGAACAAAACAAATGAACATGGGAGCAAAAAAAGAAAGAGAGAGGCAAACCATAAAACAGACTCTTAACTATAGAGAACAAACTGAGGGTTGCTGGAGGGGAGGGGAGTGGGGAATGGGCTAAACGGGTGATGGGTATTAAGGAGGGCACTTGTGATGAGCACTGGATGTTATATGTAAGTGATGAATCACTAAATTCTATTCTGGAAACTAATATTATACTATATGCTAGCTAACTGGAATTTAAATAAAAACTTGAAACAAAAAAAAAATCCTTTGCAAATGATCTTGATATTTGGCAGATAGTCCATATGTTTGTATAGTGTAGCTATGGCCTTAGTAGTTATTTTCCAGAGATTTTATGTATGTATAGCTTGTAATCCTTCTAATCCATGAGCTCCTTAGAGGAATTTACTGGATTAAAGACAAGTGTCAATCAAGAGCTATACTAATGGCTGTACTGGGCTCAAAGTAGTCACTCAGGGGAAAAAAAAAATGTATGTCCATTTATTACTTAGTTTTAAAATTTAACATTTTTGAAGATGAGAGGGGAATTTAAAAGAAAAAGAATATGTTCTAGAAACTAAATAATTACCAATGCATAATTACATTCTCAGCCTTGGAGATGCAGATAGAGATTACAGCAGCTTTTTTTTTTTTTTATGTTTCCATTCATCATTTGTTCTGCAATTCAAGCTTCAGTGTTTAAAAGGTTCCATTGTCTGCATTAGGTCAGCAATATAACCCTTGAGAAACTTATATCTGTTTAAAACCATCAGCTTGATTTTTTTTTTTCCCTAAAGCACCTCCAGTTCAGGTCCTGGAATCAGCCCTGAGTCTCTCTGTATTGCATTCAGGAGAAATATTCTTGAATGTAAGAAGGAAAGGAACAAGAGGAGGGCATATTAGTAAAATCTTGGTTTGCGTGTGATATATTTTTCTGCCATGAAAAGGTTTGTTATGAAGGCTGATAAAAAATGCCAGTGAAAATAAAAATATCATTCCATATCATAATCACATACTAGAAGTCCAGTGATCCATCACTCAAGACAAGACTTTATTGTATGTGAGCCTAGAAATTCATCTCCTATTTCAGGAAAACCAGAAATTTTGTCTTACCACAGAGTCACTGTGGTTAAATTACCTTGACCAAGAAATCCAAAGGAGAGCTGAATCCCCTGTATACAGTGAAACAGACATGGGTTTCTAACTCCCTTGCAATAAGTTAAACTTTAATGATCGGATTTCCTCATTTGCAACTTCCCAATTTTGCCAGTTCAAGATTTTGGTCCTGGAATGCTCCCTGTGCTCCCTGCCAGGGCCTGAGTGCCTTATGTTCCTGTCCTCCAGCAGCAGTTGCCTGCAGACAGATCGAATTTAGGACCTAACTTCTCTGTTAGAATGAGATTAGCAGGTGTTAAAGACATGTTAGTATTTAGATGAGGGTCTCACCCAGATGTTAACAGAAGAGATTAAAGAATATTTGGGGCATAAACTGTGCATCTCTAGAATATATATTGTGACAGGAACAAACATTCCAAGTATTTGCCTTTTGTGGAATCACTAGAACCTTTCTGCTCACATTCTAAATGAGGAGAGTATCCACGATAGGACGTCTAAATAGAGACCCAAGATTATGGTGCTTACTGGGGCAAAGCAGCAAGGAAAAACATCCAAACTAAAAAGGCAGTTTACTCTGTAAACAGTAATTTTAAATTGACACTTGACTTCAGATAAGTTGAAACATCTGAGCCTGAATCCCGTGCCAAATTAAAACATACATAAAAACCATACTTTAGGGTTGCAGACCTTTCAGAGATGGAGTGGTAATATAAGTATATTCTTTACACAGACCTGTTCCTAATCATGTATCTTCCATGTTTAAAACACTTCAATGGTTTCCTATTTTACTGTAGGACAAAGTCCAAGCCTCAGAATGGCAGGCAAAGCCCTAATGATCTGACTCCTCCTGCCTCACAGTTCACTCCTTGCCCCCAGACATCCTCTGGGCCACTCATACCACATTTCTCCCAGTTACCTTGTTTTCAGGCCTTTTCACAAGCTTTTCTGTACCCAAAGCTCTGGCTGATTCCTGTATATTTGGGAGGCCTTAGCTTGGGCCTTTCTCCTGGGAAACCTTTGCAGACTCCTAAAGGCATGGTTAGATGCCTTTTATATATTCTCCATATACCAGGTACTTCTTCATGTAATGCACTGATACATTTTAAGTGTCCATTCACTTCTGCCTAGCTGACTAAGCAGTCAGCTTCATAAAGGCAGGAGACAGTTCATTTTGTTCATGCTGTGTCCTCAGCACACTACCTCCCTGTCAGTAATCACTGCTTACTCAGTGAATAAATTAAGCTCTGGTAACATTCTATTTGATTAGTGACCACAAGAAGTTGAATGGTTAGTGTCATTGCAGGGAAATTCGTGAGAGAAGAGAACCTGTTCTGTTGATTGTATGCACAGCACTGACAATAGTAGGTGCTCAATAAATATTTATTGAAGAAAAATTTAGAATACTAAGTAACATTTAAAGTATAATGCATTGCCTTTGATGTAATGGTTAACATGACATTAACACTAATATTTCTAACAAGAATGCTAAAACAGTTTCAGATCTGTTAAAATCATAATAACCGAGGGGAAAAATTACCATTCTTTTTATAGCAATCATTACTACTGTAGATATTAATGATTTTGCCTATTATGGTCAAGAATTTTTCCCTTCTCAAGTATTGTCCTGATTAAATATTTTGTAGTCTATCGAGTAGTGTTTTAGATTTGCATCTTTGATTTTCGATACTATCTAGCATCCCTGAAATATGTTATTTTTCAACTACATAAAAGTGATTCTTGATTCCTACAATAGAAACATGGTTGGGTTTCTACATTCCTCAAAGAGAAAAACAAAATAAGTTATTTGTAAACATCTTCACCTAGAAAACTTTTGGAGAAAATAAAAACATCTAGCTAGAAGGATATCTGAGGGATGATCTGGTTCAGCACCACACTTAGGGATGAGTGGTTTCTTCCTCCTTTTAAAGAAAGAAGAAGGCAACTAGTTTTTGACTAGTCTGCTCCAAATAGTTAAATATTTTTTCCTTAAAAATAACGCTAGTCCACACACACATAAACATCACTTACAGTCATTACTCTATACATAATGCAGACAACTTGCATAACTACTATAAATGTTGAAAAAACTTACATACCTACTTGATCAAGGAGAGGTAAGTAGAGTGTGCATAGATTTATGGTAATCACATCACATCCACACAAGTGATATTCTCCACCACTCCCGATCCCTATCCCTACCATTGGAGAGAAGGAATCTCTTTTACAGTCCTAGGTCAAGAAAATATATTGAGTCATAATGATTATTGTGATACAAATTATATTACTATAAAAATATACTCCTAGTTTATTTTTAATAAAGTAAAAGAACAACAACAAAAATTATTTGGTATTCATTTCTTATCTAGAGAAGTGATTGAAGTTTGAGCCTCCTATGTTAAGAAAAATGAGCAAATTACAAAGTTAGCAAAGTCTGCATATTTCTCTTCTCTCACACATAGCACTCTGCTCCTTACCTCCATAGTTCCTCATTTGGGCCTGACTTCTTAAAACGTTCTTTTCTCTCTTTGAACTCAGGAATCATCAGGCAAAGCCAGTAACATCAGAATGGCTTAGAGTTGAGAAAACCCACCCTTCTGGAAGCAGAGTGACAGAGGAGCCATATGGTGGTCTGGAGAATATGGCATTTCCATTCACAATCCAAGCAACAGGAAAAGCAAGGTGAGAGCATGAGAGTTGGGCATCTTAAGCTAGTGGCAAAAGAAGAGTTTCGGGAAAAGCAGGGTGGGTGATTCTGGCTATCCAGTAGGTTACTTATTAGGTGATATGTCAGGAGCCCGCATTCACATTCAAAGTCAGGGACTCAGGAAGACAAACAAGAATAAGTTAGGGTCCACAGCTAAGGGGGAATGAGGGTACCAAAAAGGGTACTAGAATAGAGCTTTGAACACAAGAATCAAGACAGAAGAAGCTTATCAAGCCTGGGTCAATACTGGGTGACTGATGATCTGAACCACTGAGTGTTGGTCTAGATGATTCATAAAGATCCTGGGAAAGGGTGTGCTGGGCCTTGAGATATGTTTAGAGACACCAGACTTACAGAGGATGAGGAGGTAGAGTATTGGAATTGATTTCTGGACCTTTCTCTCATGTCATGATTTCCTTCAGAATTTCCTGCACTGGTCTCAGGGCTTCCTATACATATGATTAATCCTTTCTGCTTATGTAATCTTAACTATAGGATGGCCTCTTACCAGTTAAGACTGTTCCTTTCCACATCTCCAGAAGGCCCTCACAAGTCAAGGAGGAAGCAAATTGTCAGCAAAATCAATCCAGTGAGCACAGGAAAATACTGAAGCTGTTCCACCTTTGCTTCTGACATGTTTGATCTCATACAGGATGGCAACCAGAGTAGAAAAGTATACGCAAAGAAAAAATATTTTGCACTGATAAAAGGTAAAAATGCCTGACTAAATGTACTTAGGGCAGAAATAACCATGGCTGACCATTAATCAACTATGTATCACTGTCACTAAAAATAACCTATCACACACATTCCCTCTTTCCTCTTAGCTGTCATTATCCTTGCTCGAGCCTTGTTATTGCTAATTTGGATTCTTAGAGTTCTCTGTTAGACAATCCTATAGCAATTGATTTTTCCCTGCTCCAATCCTAGCTATATATTAAAGCCCCTGTGATATTTGTCACTCTGTTATTCCATATATTTCAATGGTTACATATTCCTTACCAAATTAAGTTCACTTTTTTAAATCTGACCTAAACATTTTTGCAACATTACTTTCCACCATCCAACCTGTACCCAATAAATCTATAAACTGTTATTATTCCTAGTAATAATATTCCTAATAATAAGTCCAAATACATTTATCTCTTTCTCACATCAGGCCTTAGTCTTTGCTGTTTCCTGCTAAGTATGTCTATCTCCATCTCTACCTGATAAAGTCCTACCCATTCTTCTAGATTCTGCTTAAATGTCTAAAGTATTCCCTCCTCACCTCTTCAATTTTCCATAGCTGTGTATCTCTCATGCCAACTATACTCATCACACTCTGTGCTGGATTAAGAGTTTTCTGTGTCCATGGCATAGGGCTTGCTCCTCTTAATAAATATTTGTTGAATTTAAACAAAGCAAGCATGATTCTTATAGACACACACATATGAGCCACACACAGACAACACTATTTTATAGTAGAGTACTATGCCCAATAAATTCAGACCCATACACTAAGCTTCCATAGAGAAAGTACTGAGATTCTAATCTTACAGAGACATGGTCACCATGCAAAGTGTATTCTCAGTTTTCTAGAGTTTGATTTTGACCACCATCCTCTTGAAAAGACTCATGTCTACAAAATGCTTTCAGAATCTTTATGGAAACCACCATGTAGTCAAATGAGAGAAGAGAAATGAACTAATCAGGAAATTATAAAAATCATATTTTAGCCATTCAGTCATTCTAGTAAAATCTGTGGAAGCTGAACATAGTAGCCCGGGGCTTTCTTTTCTTTTTCTTTTTTTTTCTTTACCAAATTATGCAGTTAATTCAAAAGGAAATCTCCATGACAAGGTTTGTTTTGTTTCTTTAGTAGTGGTTTCATAAGTGCATGGGTCATGATGGGGGTAAATGTTAAAGCCCTCTTAACTTAGAGGGGCCCTGGGTGACTCAGCTGATCAAGTGTCTGCTTTGGGCTCAGGTCATGATCCCAGGGTCCTGCTCAGAAGGGAGGCTGCTTTTCTCTCTCCCTCTGTCTGCTGCTCCTAGTGCTTATGTTCTCTCTCTGTCAAATTAATTAATTAATTATTTTTAAAAAGCCCTCTTTTTTGTTGCATTAGTTTGTTTTTTTAGTTGCTTTATTATTAATCCATTTATTTTATTTTTTTAATTAAAAAAATTTTTTTTACTAACATATAATGTATTATTTGTTTCAGGGGTACAAGTCTGTGATTCATCAGTCTTACACAATACACAGTGCTGGGTACCCCATCCCTCCCACCCCCCACCATTCCAGCAATCCTCAGTTTGTTTCCTGAGGTTAAGAGTCTCTTACGGTTTGTCTCCCTCTCTGGTTTTGTCTTGTTTCATTTTTCCTAAAAACCCCTCCTAACTTCGAAACTCTTGGTATCCAAATAGTGCTAGAGAGAAAAATGATGTATTCCACATGACTCTGAAAGTAAACATGATCAATATCCTGAAACCCAAACTTGACATGGCTTTCAATTTTAAATGAAATCAGTATAGTCTTCTTTTTTTTATCATTCATAATCCTCTGCCCCAAAAAACAAAACACACAGCCAAACCACTAATTTTGATTCTTCCACAGCAAAATAAGTTTTGTAGTAAAAAGAGAAGAGCTAAGAGAATGAGAAGGTTTGGGTCCTAGCTCTAATTCAACCTCTGGCCATGTAAACTTGGGTAAAACTCTTCACCATTTAAATATCCCACCTCCAGCCTATAAAATGAGGAAATAACCCTGTTGCCTTACCTATTTCATGATGAGGATCGAATAAAATAAATTAAGGGAAAGCATTTTGTAAATTAAGTACAAAAAGCTCTGATGATCCTGATGCCACTTCCCTTTAATCCTCCAATGATCTCCATCCAGCAACTGTGTAGTGGGCTAGCTGTCTTCCTCTCCACTTCATAGATATCCATCTTGACAGATTCTGTGGTGTTCTAGTTTCCCATACTTGTGAAGGCCTCTGGCTCTTCCTGTCTGCCCAGTTGAGTCTTGTACTTCCTTCAGAGACTTCATTCCCCATGAAACTTCCAACCTACTAGGATCTTTTTTTTTTCCAGAATTCTTTGTACACTTATACCCCTCCACCTCAAATAGAATATTAGTTTATGACTTTGTATACTCTGGTTATTACAATTTCAAGTCTCGGTGCCACTAGAGTATGAATTTCTATGTATACTGTGTCAGTCACCTCTTTTATGTAACTCTAAGTGCCTAGCTCAGGGCTGGGAACTTCTTAAAAAGAATGAACTGCTTATTTTCCAACTTTTTTTCCCAGAGTTACTGACTAAAGGACACTTCACCCCCTAATTTCTGACATCTAATAAATCATAAAGTCCTCTCTGTTTTATCTTCAAGATAAAGTCTCAAATATACTCACTTTTCCCTTTCTCCCCTCTCATATCCAGATTTCATCTGCAGCCCTTCAAAACTTTATTACTGCACCCTTGCTTCAGCGATGGCTTTCAACTAATACACAGAGCCAGAAAAATACACTTTTAGAAACCAATTATGCCTGCTTTCTGCTTAGAACCCTTAAGTGGCTTTTTATTACCCTTCAAATAAACTCCTACTGCCCAAAAGTGGTTTCCAAGACCATATATGTTCTGGCCCCCACCAACCTCTCCAACCTCACTGTGGGCCACTCTCCCCATCTCCCTGTATCCCACACACATGGCCTCCCTTAAACTTCTCTCAGAGGCCATGGTCGTTTGTTTTAAGGCCTTTGCACAGGTTCTTTCCCTCTACCCAAAGTGTTCATCCCTGGCATTTTTCATAATCAGTTCATTCTCTCCATGTATGAAAGCACCATGCTTGCTTTTTTTCTAATTCCTTCCCTTTAGAGAGGACTGTTTAAGCAATTCCATCTTATACCCTATTTATTTCTTTCATCTTACTTATCCTGATGGGTAATTATTAGTCATTTTCTGATTTACTTCTGTATTATTTCTCTTGTCACTAGATTGTAAGGTGTATCAAGGTAGTAGGAACCATGTATGTTTTTTTTTTTTCCCCCATCATTATGCATTCACAGTACCTAGTACTGTGACGGCACACAGAAAGCACTCAAAAATATTTGTCAAATGAAAATTTAACAAGTGAGATTTGAGTATTTAATATAAGCCAGGTGCTAGAAATACAAAGCAAAATAATTGCAAGTGGGCGCCTGGGTGGCTCAGTTGTTAAGCATCTGCCTTCAGCTCAGGTCATGATCCCGGGGTCCTGGGATCGAGCCCCACATCGGGCTCCCTGCTCCAC